TTGTATGAGAGCCTACAATGCAAAATAAAATGATCCCACAGTAGAAAATGGTATACATTTCATTACCTTTCAAAGGTGACAATGAGCAAACGATTGAGGAGTGTGGCAGAAAGTAGGTATTTCTCAGGAGAATTGTGCATATTCTATACTTCCTAATCAGTTTTCCCATCATCGATGAAGGACAGGCTACCGATGGAGATGACCTTTTTTGTATCTACTAGTTTACTTGCTCCTGTGGCGCAACTTACGGAGGTCGTATCGCCAGACGCCTGGTCGATCGAATGACAGAACACCACCCGGCTTCGCTCAGTCGGGGAGTGATTAGGGCAGTTGCGAGTGCGGGTTGCTATACCTCTGGGCGAGACAAATCACACAGTGGATGTGAGGGAATCGTTCTGTTGAACTTGTTTACTAACGAGTATCCTGTCAAAGGATGTTAAAGCCCGATTACTATCTACAGCAGAGGCGATAGCAAGCAAGAAGTTCGTTAAATCTCTTTCCATCCTGTGACCATGTGTTCGAAGTGCCTCTAACTAAAGTTTTAGTTGAATGTTGACACTCCGCAAGAGATTATCACCAATTATGCGGTCAGTTTTGGAACATCACTCTTCCAACTCCTGAACGTCCATTTTACCCACGTTAAATCCCTGATTTGACTGTCTCTCTATGTTATTTCCCTAAGTTATATAATGTGCTGTAATTGGTCAGTAGATAAAGCACTGATTGCAAGCTTGTTCATCACATCCCGGTTTTTCTAATGAATTTACTCGTTTTTGACTTGTTTGAAATAGTCACACAGAACTTATTTTGAGCGGATTAACTAGCTCGTTTTCGTGCGGAATTTCACGCACTTGTTACGTCCAAATGCCCCTCAGAATGTATTTCAAACAAAACAACAGAATGGCGAACAAGCCGTTTTCAATTATTCGTATTCATGTAAATACATCTCAATACTTATATATATTTTCGTCNTTATCTCGTTTATTTAAAATGAATGGCAAATTGATTTCGTTCATAACTACGAATTTTAGAATACTGCCACTGATGCACTGTGTCTCTATTTTTCTTTAGAATTTATTAATCTGCCACATGGGGCGTAGGTTTTGCATACTCGCTGTTCCTAAGCAGTCCATGTGTGAATCAACGATTCAATGGCTCCATGTTTCATGTGAGTAATGTAGAATTTTATACAATTTCATGGAAGGAATTTGTCGCGTGCGTGAGGTAAAAAAGATGAGAAATCGTTTGAATTGGTCGGGTCTCATCAACAGTGTGAGTCTATCTACCCCCGGACCTCCCAGGAGGAACGGAAGTGGACTATCCACTCGGTCACCCGGTAGATGATCAGACTGTTTCTCATTTTCCATGTACACAACCGATCTGTGCGAGCTAGTTGCGAGCCACGCACCTCGCTAAAACTTAATCTTACTATTATTGTCTACCAGTCACGAGGCGCAAGATTGCTAAGGTTTGCCGAAGCGATTGTAATTAATCGATGGAAGCCCCCCCCCCCTGTGCCAGCCAAAAGAACTTTATTTTATTCTCTCTCTACGCTGGTGATATTCGTCCATTTATCCCCCCCCTCTTTTATGTTTTGTCTGTTTTTAATGTATTTTGCTTTACTTTGTTGCTATGCGAAAACTCTATAAAAACATTGTATTTTCTGCAGTATGCACCATGTTGAGGTGCGGCGAAATCGTCCTGGACATAAATCGCGCAGTATTGTCATATGGTCTTCTCTTTTGAAATTAATCTTGGGAAAGGCTTATTTCAGTTTACTATTATTGGTAATTTACAGAGCTGAGCTTATTGAATCCCAGAGGGTCAGTACGCACCGGGTTCGAATGATAGTACAAGTTGAAACGATGAAAAATCGTTTCGTTCACTCACGGGTGCTGGAC